ATCCCAATATCCTGACCTCACATTCATCCTAGACTCTTCAAATGCTTATAACTAAGCTTAACTATTCATTTCTTTATCCTACTCTATACCCTTAAACTAAGAATATACAATAATAAGCTCTAACTTCAGTTAAAATTTCTTCCTACCTTGTTGTTAAGGTATCCTTTTCTTCTATAAATAGATAAAAATGGGTATTTTGACTAAAGGGAGAGTTTTTTTAATTATATATATTTGCTCTTTGTGCTTCCTATTTTTCTGAATTAAAAAGATATAAAATGTATAGAAAATCATTTTGATTTATTTGATGACAAAACAAAATAGAGAATTAATTATTTTATTCTCAAATCCTATTCAGTGATTGTATAAAAAAAGAGGTGAAACTTTTTATGCAGTGAAAGCATGAAAAATTTGACTAAATATTAAAATCGATCGAGAGATGAACTTAATAAGTTGAGCTCAAACTCAATAATTAAATTAGATTAAATTTTAGGACACTTAAACAATTTGAATGATCAATTCTCCAGAGAATAATTAATAATGTTAAAAACCTAATTCATGAATAAATGAAGAAAATAATATCTGATTACAAACCAACTTAAAGCAGGAGTAAGAAGATGAGAAGAATTCTGACAAGAAAGAGAAATGATGCAAACTGGAGGAAAACTAGAAAGATCAAATTTGGAAGGTCCAATTAATATGAAGAAGGAATTGAGCCGAAGAAGCAAGTAGGGAGGCAGAATATAATTCTGGAGCAGGATACTTCCAGACCCATTACAAGGAAATAATGTGTATTAAGAAGATAAAGACAGTAGCTGAAGTGGCGATAATGTTACAGAGATATTTGATTAAATTTATGGAATGGAGTTTCAAATCAACATTGAAATGAAGTGCTCAATCTTAACTATTTAAACCCAAAAAAGTTGAGTTTGTTGGTAAATTTGAGACATAATTACAAAGGGAAGTATAAAATACCAATTCGAAACAACCAGAAAATAATTAATGTAGAGATTATCCTTCTTATCAATGATAAGGAAGATACTAACCTATAGACTTCTAATTTAATTATGGATATTTATGTACCACCTCTAAAAATATTGCAACCTTTCAATTGGATATAAAAGTAAATCACAATAATCTATGACTTATAATCAACAGAAGTTCTTTTAGAGCAACTTTAGGAATAAACAAGATCTTCCAAAAATGATAATAAACAACCTGAGAGGAAAACTAGAGCTCGAATTTAAAGATAATGAGTCTTTAAGGAAATAGATAAAAATAGAAATATTCAGAAGGCACTTTTACTGGTAATATA